TATGAGCTGTGAAAGTTGAGGTATAGATTTTTTTTAAAATGTCGATCTGCCTGATTTCTATTGACGGCAGCCCATATATTCAAATAACAACACTGCTTAATAAAAACATACAGTAAGCAGGGCTTTATCTTAATACCAAAAAAAAATATTTTTGAACTTATTACTAGTAACAATCTAATAATTAATACAATCTGTCAAATTGCTAAATATTTTAAAATTATTATTTATAATTGTACCATATTATAGATATAATGCAATATAATAATACTTGGGCATTTTCATTATACTTGTACTAGCTAAGTTTGATTTTGCACAGTATCGGTATCCAACGTTAATATCTCACAACTCTAGAAATCGAAAGATTTTGATACCATTTGATTTTATTCAATAAGACTAATTGAATTGTATAGATTATTCTATTTGTTCACAAGTTACAATAGGTTTTTTCATTAACCCTAGCTGCCGCAACAAAATTGTCGCGGAAGATTCTCGATTTTGATTGGCTAAGAACGACAATCAAAACTTTAGGCCGGAATAATTTTACTGATGAAATCGCAGTTGCCTATTAAGTTCCTGGCCATAATGCAGGCTTATTTTTTAAAATTTCTATTTTGTAATGAAAAATTAAAAAGTTAATTCCGGCCGGAAATTGTGTAATGCAGATCACGGCAAAATCGAGAATCTGCCGTGACAATTTTGTTACACATAATTGGATGCATTAGTTTCAGCTTAATTTTATATCGATATTAAGCATTACGTACTAACACCAGAAAGGGGAATGCCTTATGCATTGTTAAGGTTAAGGAAATGTCCTCTATTTCGAAACTTATTATGGAATCAATGATAATAATGTAAAAGAAAAAAAATTTTTATAAACAATACAATTCATGTAATCCCTTGCAACATCTAGAATTTACAGCTCAAGCGGAAATCGATGTTATTAAACCTTTGGTTTTACCTGTTAATCAAGCTATTTTTAGAGAACGTACGTACGTACGTACTTTAATGTCAACACATCTGAAGAGCTCCAGAATTACATGCATCACGCATTTCGGTATATTAATAATTCCTTGTAACGCAATATTGCATAAAATATGCTGGCCATAAATAGTTGTAATAGTTTCACACGACCGTTTCTTAACAAAAATATACTTTTTTTAACTAAGTCTTTTCAACATTATATACGTACCAAGAATATAAGTATTAACTCTACTATTTAAGAGAGTACTAGTATTTCTTTGTCCTTTTGTCATAATGCCCTGCACTCCTTTGGGTAAAAGTAAGCCGTTGCAGCGTAAATTAGTTGTATTAGGTGATGGTGCTTGTGGAAAGACTTCCCTTCTTAACGTATTTACGAAGGGTTATTTCCCACAGGTTTTTTTTTTTTTTTCTTTCTTTTTTAATATTATTTATTGAACCAAGAAAGTCACTAAAGAAAAATTTTTACATTATAAACTCCGATCGTTACAATTTATAGGTTTACGAACCAACAGTATTTGAAAATTACGTACATGATATATGGATTGACAACCAACAAATTGAATTATCACTATGGGATACGGCAGGTAAATACAGTACGTGAAAATTATTAATTACCAAATAACAATTTCTTAGTCTTTACAATTTTTTAAACAGGGCAAGAAGAATTCGATCGCCTTCGTTCGCTATCATATGCAGACACACATGTGATAATGTTATGTTTTGCGGTAGACAACAGAGATTCCCTAGATAATATAGAGTCAAAATGGATGGAGGAAATACTTGAACATTGTCAGGGCGTCAAGCTTGTCTTGGTCGCCCTTAAATGTGATTTAAGGGAAGATATTCAAGTTGTAAGAAACATGCAACGTTATGGTGAAAGACCTGTAACATATGAAGAGGTAAACATATGAAAAACTGAACTCGATGGACCCAATTCTGATTATAAAATATTTTCTCATTATAACAGGGTTTGGCAGTAGCTCGAAATATCGAAGCATCTAGATATCTAGAATGTTCAGCAATGCACAATCGAGGTATACATCTACAATTATCTTATATAGTATAAATAAACTTTATTATTAATTAATTTCAACAATATTTAATTGTTCAGGCGTACGAGAAGCCTTTGAACAATCCGCCAGAGTAAGCATTCATGCAAGGCCCAAAGGTGCACCTGGTGATTCCAATAACATAAGATGTGTAATATTGTAAAAGGTGCTACCGGTTTCAAGAAAATTAAATTTTTGTATTTTTAGTCTATATTTCGATTTTTGTGCCATCGAGCGAATGTGTATTCATTCACCCATATTTTTTTTTTTCATTCCTTATATAATGGTCAATTTTATTCCTTATTTTTTTTTTTTTTTTGAGAAATGTTTTAATGGCAATTTCCTTCATATCATAATTGGTACTTATTGCATCATTGCCCCACCTACAAATTGTATTTTCTATTCCGTTGGCTTATGGTTCATAATAGAGGGTATAATTGATAGTGTTAATCCAAGATTGAAAAATACAAAAATGATGAGGTGCTATTCCGATATCTGATAAGGATACAGGTTACTGCGAGAGTTGGAACTTGTCGAAAAAAATTAATTCTTAGAATGGCACAGTTCATTATTTTAAGATAAAAACACTGCAGCATTAAATATTACAATCATGTCATTGAGTAATTAATTGGCAATAAAATTTAAAAGATCAATAATTTTTTTTATTATGCAATTGAAACATATATTTTCGTATTTTTAAATTTGATGTATATAGTGAATAGTTAATGTTATTAAAAATGTACAAAAACTTAAGAAAATAGGGAGTCATTTGGGGCGTTGGCCTAATGGATAAGGCATCAGACTTCGGATCTGGGGATTGTGGGTTCGAGTCCCATGCGCCTCGTAATTGTTTTTTTTTTTTTTTTTTTTTATTACAGTAAATGCAAAAAATTGATATTCATATGTATGTATTTATACATATATTACGTATTATCGACATTATTTGTAACTTATATACAGTATATATATAGTTATTAATATATTGTTCGTATTGCAAATTATTATACGTAAAAAATTTTTAGTTAATACTTTACTAAAACGCATTTATACTATTTTATTATTTATATTATATTAGCTTAAAAACTGGCTTAATTAATATGCGGTATTTTAAATAATAATGCTTTATACATATTTTCAAAATCTTTTTTTAAATACTAATCTCAACACGAAAAATTAAATTAAAAACTTTATATACTGTATATAAAACTTACAATACTATACAAAATCACTATAATATATAAAAATAATTTTTATAATAAATACGTATATAGTATATTTTATTATAATTAATTTTTTTTAATTTTGTTGATAATATAATATAAAAAGCAAACTATAATATATTCTATTAATATACTGTAAATACAAAATAAACAAAGCAGTTTTTATACTATATTAATATACAATATTACAGTGGAAATTATAAGTAATAGAGCAAAAAAAACTTTTGCTTAGATCATGTTATTTTGAGCAATTCTAGGTGTATTCTTTTTTTTTTTTTTAATTTATTCATGAATAGTTATTTGTTTTGATATTAAATTTTTAATAAATGTTGTTGTTGATTCAAAAATAATTATATATACAGTATAACATGAAACACGTGATGCATTACTTTTATCATTTAAAATTAGGATCAGATAAGATATATGTATGATACAAAACAACTATATAAAAGTAAATTACATTGTTGTTTTTGTATTATTATACAGATAAATCTCCCTAAGTGCACCCTCCCTAAGTGCACCCTCCCTAAGTGCACACCCTCTCTAAATGCACACTGTGGTCCGGTCCCAATGTTAGGACTTAGAACTTAAATCAACACCCTCCATATTCTGCATGTGCAAGAAATTCCGAGTCCCAAACCTATGCGTGCACCTTCTATAAATGCATGCACATGATATCATCCAATCATAATTGAGGATTTTCACATATAACATCTCATTGTTACGTACCTTCTTTTTAATTTTGAATCATCCAGTTTGTTGCTAGAAGTTTAATGGAAATTTACTAAGAGTTGAATTAATATAATTTGAACCTTTTATCGCTATAATCCTACTGCAATAAAATAATAATATCATAGAAAGTTAAAGTTTCATTAAAATCTTTTGCTGGGATATTCTTAAAAAAAAAAAAAAAAAAATTAAATTATATATTGTGCGTACTGTGATTTTAGCTAGAATTGGACATTTAAAAAATTCTTAAAATGGATTACTAATACTTGGATAAGCTAGATTAATTGCTATAAAGGATAATAATAATCGAAAAGTCAATTGAATTAAATATGGAACTTTAAAAAAGCTTGAATGAGCTAAAAGCATACAAGTCATTAAGATCCTCAATATGGATTGGTTTTTGAACATTTGGACATTAACAATCAGTTGCTTAATTTTAGAATAATGATATAAGAATAGTGCAAAAATTATACATACCAAAAAAAAAACAAAAAAAAAAACAAAAATGTCTTCTAAGAAAGTTACATTAACTGATGCACAAAAGACTGCATTATGTATTTATGCTCATAATAATAAAATGACTCAAGCTAAATATGTTGATTGGATAGAACAACAATGGGGTGTTAGAATTGATAAAAGCATAGTTTCAAGAATTTTAAAAACTAACTTAGCTCTGAAGTCTCTAACTCTAATGTAAAACAGCATAGAGCTGTTACTGTTCCAGAGGTTGAGCTTGCGCTAAAGGAGTTCATGTTGAATTATCAATATAGAACAAATTTAAATGATGCCATCTTGATTCAAAAAGTGAAGTTACTCACTGCTGGGTTAGGAGTTCCTGAAGGAACATTACAATTTTCTTCTGGCTGGCTGCAAAAGTTTAAAGAACATAATAGTATTCGACAAATAAAGCTTCAGAGTGAAGCTGCATCTGCAGACAATGATGCTATTACTAGTGTATTACCATTGTTAAGATCTAAATGTGCCAGTTATCCACTTCATAGAATATACAATATGGATGAAACTGGGCTTTTTTATTACTTAGAACTGGACCAAACCTTGGCAACCTATCGTATTGCTGGGTATAAAGTAGATAGAGAACATATTTCAGTTGCACTATGTACAAATGCAGATGGCTCACATAAACTAAATCCGTTAATAATTGGAAAATATCAAAAGCCAAGATGTTTCAAAAACATAAATATTAAAAACATGCCATTTATGTATCAGAATAATACCAATGCCTGGATGATCACAACATTCTTTCAAGACTGGCTTAAAGAATTTAATCACCAAGTCTGTTTAAAACATGATGGTCAACATTCACTTCTGCGTTTAGACAAGTGCTCCAGTCATAAAACTGATTATCTAAATCTATAATATGTAGATGTTTATTTTTTACCTACAAAAGCAACTTCAAAAATTCAACCGATAGATGCCAAGATAATTATGAGTTTTAAAAGGCACTATTGTCATCATCATATTCTTTGGATATTATAGCAAATAGAGGCAGGTAATCGTGCAGAAGATTTAAAAATGGATGTCTTACAAGCTATTCAATATGCTATTCAGGGTTGGGAAGAAATAAGTGCTAAGACTATTCGTAATTGCTGGCGACATACTAAAATTCTTCCTATAAGCTCTAATGCAGATCTATGAAATCTTTCTGAAAATATTTGTCAAGTTATTGATTCTGAAATTGATAAACTTACTGAACTTATTGAAAATCTTCATTTTTCGGACTCTATGCAGGTTGAAGAGTTTTTATCTATCCCCGAAGAAAATTTTGTTTATGAAGTTCCTGATGATGATTGTATTATTTCGGAGATTGTTAAAATTTTTTAAAAAAATGAAGAAGATTTAGATGAAACTGAAAAAATAGATGATAGTTCTGAGATTCCTATTGTTAGTGCCGATTTAGTACTTGAAAGTTTGAAGACTGTTTATATGTATCTACTACAACAAAATAACACAAGTAAGCAGCTAAAGCTAGTTAATAAAGTCAAAAAAGTGATTAAAGAAAAAAAAGTGGCCACAATGAAACAATCACAAATAGATCAGTATTTTAAACAAAATGATAAAACTAGTATTAACGAGTAAGAATATACTTATTATTAAAAGCTTACTAAATTAAATAAATTTAACATATTAATTTATTATCAAAAATTTATAAGGATCAGCTTTCATCTGACATTTATAACCCTAAATATTATTGTTGAAGCGAAATAAGCTAAAAAAATTAGCATTGGAATTTTATTTAAAAAAAAAAAATAGAAAAACAAAAAAAAAAAAAAAAGCAAAAAAGGAGAAAAAAAGAAAAAAAAATTAAACTGAATTACTTCAGTAGAAAAGGTACTAAAATAGTTATTTAAAAGAATCGGATATAAATTATTCAAAGAATCAGATATAGGTTATTCAAAGGATCAGATATGAGTATTTAAAAGAATCGAATATTGTTATTCAAAAGAATCAGATATGATTTATTCTGATAAAATGTTTAAAGTTGGTTATTTTTTTATTATTACAATATTTTTAAAGTAACATAAATTTGACAATTGTTAAAATGACAGAATTAGAACTTTTTCTCCTAGTGTCATGGGACCAGAAACGTTTAAATAAATAAAAAAGCCAATGCAAGAAGCTTTTATTTTAAATTGACAAATAATTATTATATTGAATGTTATTATTTTTATAAAAATTAGTATATAATGCTTGTACAATATAGTGTTTTACTAAAAGTATTTTTTACTTAAAAATAATGAAAAGGCTTAATTGCAATAGTATAATTTGATTGGACTGCTGTTACATAATAATTTTGTATAAAATCTCTAAATGCACACCCTCTCTAAATCCAGTCCTAAAAGTGTGCACTTAGGGAGGTTTATCTATATAATATTAAATCTTATCAATAATAAATATTACAAAAAAACAAATAAATAACCTTAGCCCTAAGGGCTAATATCTTACTTTTGCTGCAGAAAAGACACACCACAAGAGCAGTAGATCTTACCTACAACATTAGCTCTTTACTGTAATTCGTATCAAAAATAAGTGGCTCTGATACCATGTATTTGAGGAATTGAAAAGGGTTGGTCGCCTAGTTGCTTTAGGCAAACCAACCCAAAAGAGAATTGTTAACCTAATTGTCTAATATCGCTGTTCTAGTGTAGTCAAAGTTTGCTCTTGCCTTAAAGAACAAAAAAACATTGACATTTTGGTGCTCACTATCCATTATATACTCAGGGCCCATGGTTTGGTATCAGGAATCAAGAGAAAAAAACTCTACCTAAGCAAAATTCACAAGAAATGTAGATTAGAATTTGCAGTGAAACACAAAAATTATTCTTACAAGAACTGGACTCATGTTATTTGGTCTGACAAGTTGAAGTTCAAAATATTTTGGTCTGACGGCAAGAAATAATTTTGAAAGCATTCTGGTGAACTGTTAAACAACTTTCACATTAAGCCTATAGTGAAGTACAGGGGTGGCTCTGTAATGATTTGGGGCTGTTTCACATCTTGCAATGTTGGTGGGTTTTGCCAAATTGAAAACAACATGGATAGTAAGTTGTATCGGCAGATACTTCCGAGGATTTTTGAGTACAGTTAGGGATCACAAGTTTGATCTTTGCAATGTTATTTTCTAGCAAGACAATGATCCTAAACATATAGTGAAGCTGACATTATATTGGTTGAGAAATAATTGAGTTAGGGTGTTGGATTAGCCCCCAGTCTCTAATTTCAACCCTATTAAATATTTGTAGAATGAGGTTGACTGACAACTTAGAAACCTCCCTGGACAAATTTCAGGTAAAGAAAACCTGTGGAACAAGATCCAGGTAGTTTGGAAACAAATTAGCATTGAGACCTGCACTGATCTAATTCGATCCATACTTGAATATGTTCATAGTGTTATTAAGACCCGCAGTAGATACACCAGGTTGTAGAGGCCAAAAGGAATAGAATAGAAAAAAATTTTTTTTATATATAAAAATTTTTTTTTATGTTTTATTATTGTGTTGCATTACATATAATCAAAAGTAATGCAACATGTCAAATGAAATAAAATTTAGGTTAACGAAAATTTAGGTTAATTTATTTTTTTTAAATTTTTAATATATAAAATCTATAGTAATGAATAAATTAAAAAAAAATATGCCTAGAATTGCTCAAAATAATGTGATTTAAGCAAAATTTTTTTTGCTCTATTACTTATGATTGCCACAGTATGTATACTATTTAATTTTAATATATCATAATATATTCCCAAATACAATAACTAGTTCTTCACTCATCTAAATTCAATATTATAATTTAATATGTGCAAAAAATTTATTATTAATTTCTTGTATTGATATATTAAAATTAAAATAAAAATTAAAATTATTATAAATATACTAATATTAAATAATTTGGTTCAATTTTTTTAATAATTTATCTAACATGCAAAAATCTTGTATGATTAATAATTTTTTATGTTAAAACAAGATTTGAGCAAATTAGAATAATTTACTAATTGTATAAATAAAGTATATAAATGTTTTGCTTTATTCAAATATAGCATAGATATTTAATTAATCAAAGGTATACAGTTGACTCCCTCTAAGGGAAATGCAGTTTATTACATAATTAGGGTTTACATAGATCATACCCCCTCCCCCCTAGTGATAGGCTATTGACCAATCAAATTTCATTTTTTATAATATTTTAAAATATATAAAATATATAAAATTTAACAAGTTCCAGCTATGAATTTCTCAACAACTACTGATCCAAATTGGATGAAATTTTTTTGCAAATAGGTAAGTCATTGGGCTACAATATATTAAAATTTTATGCAATTTGGATAAGTAGTTCTTGAGAAATTGCTTAAAAACTATATACAATTATTTTAATTAAATTATATATAATATTT